CACAGATTAACACACAAGCGGAAAATAAAAAAAACATCTATACTTGTAGGCCGAGCGCGGGAAAACGTCTTGCCGCACTCGTCACACATGCACGGCTTCTCGCCCATGTGCTAGGGTTGTACAGCGTCCCCCCCCCAGACAGGGACAGCAGATTCTTGGCTGTTGTGGGCTTGGCTGAACCGCTTGCACCACCTCCTTTCCCCGCCGCAGGATGGTGCTCGAGCTAGCCCTCCTTGAGCTCAGCCCACGACTGGAATCTCGTTTCTTGGCCTCTCGTGTCTCTGCTGCCCGACCAGACGGCCCCACTGAAGCCCACACAGGGGACTCTTCATTCACGACCCTTGGTCGTCTTGACGATCTCCGTGAAGTTTTCCAGGAACATAGCTTGGGGTCCGTGGCAATGTTGCCTTGGCAGGAACACAGCTTAGGGTCCGTGGCAATGTTGCCTTGGCAGGAACACAGCTTGGGGTCCGTCGCAATGTTGCCTTGGCAGGAACGCAGCTTGGGGTCTGTAGCAATGTTGCCTTGGCATTTACACAGCTTGGGGTCCGTGGCAATGCTGCCCTGGCAGGAACACAGCCTGGAGTCCGTGGCAATGTTGCCTTGGCAGGAACACAGCTTGGGGTCCGTGGCTTCTGTGGAGGAGGCTCGTGAAGGACGCTACTGGGCAGTTGGAGGCAGTTGCCCTCCAACAACAACGGAGGGCGGAGGAGCGACGCTCACAACAACGAGCGGAGCGCCGGGTGGCTAAAGCACAGCAGGTTGGCACAGTAGGGGGCACAGGTGGTGCATCAGCCAGTCATCTCAGTCATCTTAGTCAGTTGACCCGTGGCACTTGGGTCTGCCCCGTGACCTCCTGCCAGCGGGCGTTCGACACTTCACGTGGCCTCAAGGTGCACATGGCCTGGCACAAGCGTCGTGGTGACGTCACCACCACTTAGCAGCGAATGGCGGTTGTTGTTGTTGTACCAGTGTGCTTATTACCAGCTCCGTTTTTGCAGCCGAGGTCTCACTCCGGAACAGTCGAGTGGCATCATTTTTTCATTAGCTGCGTAACACTCTGTGGACGCTTCCTGGCTTGTCGTTCCAAACAAAGCTCCGGGTCTGCTCGGCCACAGTTATGGCCTCTCCTCTCTATGCTTGTAATACGTGGGGCCCTCTAAAGGAACACCTGCGTTGGTTTGGAACATTCCGGTTAGCTTGCTTGTGATCCATCCTTTGGGGTTAACCAGACTGGATCGTATTAGGAGCTTACACATCCTTGAAAGGTCTGGACACAGTCCCATCAGTGAGCTCCTCCAGAAAGCAAGGTTGCTTTGGCTGCGCCCTGTAGTCCACCAGCCCAGTCACTGCATGCCCAAGCAGCTTCGGTTTGGCCAGATAGAGGGTGCTAAATAGGTGTGGCACAGGCTAGAGAAAACTTGGACTGATTGTGAAACAGAAGGATTTAGAGGTCATTGGACTTCAAATTACTGATACCACCTGTGTCAAGGTCGTCCTCTGTGGAGGAGGTTCGTGAAGGACACTGCTGGGGAGTTGGAGACAGTCGCCCTCCAGCAACAACTGAGGGCAGAGTAGTGATGCTTTCAACAATGAGCAGAGCGCCGGGTGTCTTAAATGCAGAAAATTGGCACAGTGGGGAGCACAGTTGGTGCATCTGCCAGTCATCTCAGTTAACTCATGGCATCTGGGTCTGTTCCGTGATTTCCTGCTCACGAGCCTCTGACACTTCACGTGGCCTCAAAGTGCACCTAGCATGGCACAAGCACTGTGATGACATCACAGCCACTTAGTGGTGAATGGCAGTTGTTGTTGTTGTTGTACCCGTGTGTATGGATAGTGGAAGTGTAGTGGTTAGTGCACTAAGCTACAGTTCTGGAGGTCCAAGTTCGATTCCTGCTCACGATATATGACAGTGTCGAATATTTGAACTGGACCTCCCGTAGGTAGACTCAGTCTTAAATTAGTACTTGGCGTGATGTGTCAACATCAACATTAGGGAAACAAAGGTGGTTGGGTGTGGTATTAGCTACCCACCCCCCCCCCCCGTGTCCCGTGCTCGCCTTCATGGGTGCTAGCTATCAGCACTTGCACCAACAATCCATTAAAGGCTACATTGGGGGTCTTGGCCTTTGTACTCATGTGTAGCTGCATGTGTGTGGTGGCAGTGTGTCATGAGACGACTTCAGAGACACGACTGTAGGGGGTTTCTTATTTATTTCTTAATACTTTAACGACAGGGTCACAGAGTAGCATTAGCGCTGACTGACTTATAGCCTAGCCAACCATAGTGACAGCGGCGACGTACAACTATATAGCTGGTGACTATATAGGGACGACGGCGATTAAAGAGATGGCAGCGATGATAGTGACGACAGCCAGGACCCCGAGCCCACACACATGACAGCCCCAAACCCCTGTTTGCCCTCTCCCTTATATTCACTCAGCGTGGTCAATCCCAGCCCTTGGCCAAGCCCCTCTTCTAGAACTCTCCTGCGGGTTCCAGGAGCTTCCAGTTCGATCCGCTCTTTGACCCTGGGCCCAGTTATGCCCCCTTGTTGGCCGCTCGCGTATGTGTCGTCCTATGCTGCACCCACACCCGTAGTTAACACCCATGGCCACTAGATGGTATGCTGTCATTACAAATGCATGGGTTTGTGCGTTCTGTGTGCATGCATGTGTCTGTTTGTAGCCGCACATTTGTGTGCTTGTCCAAGAGTGTGTGAGTGTATTCTTGTGTTTGTTTGCATGCATATGTATGTAAACTTGTACGTGTGTGTGTGTACGTGTGCGTCTGTGTGCTTCGAGTCTTCTAAACAATGGTTGTTGAGCACACCCAGAGGCATAAACCACAAAGCCAGCAACAAACAGCCCTCTTAATGGTATTATAGATTGAGTGAATACGTTTCATAAATTGAGTAAGGTTATACGAACTTCGGGAAAGAGGCAATGGGATGGAATTCCAAAGTCGAGCAACGCATCCTTGTTTATGTGTGGGTGTGTGCATGTGTGTGGGGAGTGGTACTGTAGCGGTTAGCACGCTGTGCTACGAACCCAGTGACCCGAGTTCGATTTCCGCTCACGGCCAACACCAGTGACTATTATCTGAACCGGTCGTGGGCCTCGCCTAGGTCGGCTCGGCCTCAAATGATTAACCTAGTGCAATGTATTAAAACATTGCCACGAGGGATACAAAGGTGGCCGGGTGTGGTACTGGCAACCCAGCCCCTCATGTGCTCTACCAGCCTCCATAGATGCTCGTTTCACAGCACTTGCCCCAACAGTCTGTTTAGGCTATGCGGGGCAATCTTTTTCTTTGTGCGTGTGTGGAATTGGCATTTGTTATCTGCAATCTGGGAAAGCAAGACTGACCCCACAGGTGGTGTTTTTCTGGCCGTCTCTTCACTGTTTGGACGAATCTCAGCCCGCGGCGCGTCCATGTGCATGCCGCCAGGCTTTCTTTGTGAGAGATGTTAAGCCAGATTTTGCCAGCCACTCTGCCTTTGAAGGTCATCGAACAAGCAGGGGCCATTGTGTTGCATTGTCATGGCCTTTAAAAAGTACTTCTGGCATTAAGTGCAACGAGTTTGATCTCAAAACCAGCCCCTGGTGACTTCACACCAGGATAACAAGTTCATATGCATTTGTTTTCATCCTCGCAGCGGCTTTTGGCTAGCCATCGAACAAAGACGATTACCGCATCGCGCGCTTTCAGATGCGCTTCTGCGGCCGTCTGGAATGCTCTTCCTTCCGATATTAGGAAGCCCCTGGAGCTGTGCACTTTTCAATCTAGATCAAAAACTAATTTAACTTACAACCTCCTTTTTTACGTTTAGATTGTTGTCCTTCCCTGCACCTCCGATTAGCACGGTTGGCTACGTACGGTGTGAAAGAAGTTAAACATGCATACGTTAAATTTTGATTTAAAGCTTTCGTGACTGCAGGGATTCATATTCTTGTTTTTTTCGGTAAAGTCATGTAGAAGGGAAACAATAAAATAATAAACATATATTTTTAGAATACATACATACGTTATTGTGCTTGCTTTAATGTGCCAGATTATAATTTAGTTAGCTCGACATAAGGTAGATGCTTGTCTGCATAATTTAAGGAGCATAACGTTGTGATGCAGTATTATGATTATTGGAAGCAGTTGTGTTGTCGGGAAACATGAAGTTATAATGTCTAGGCGGGTTCTGTGATTGATGACAGCGTGATCGGTACATCATTTATTGGCGATTAATCAAAAAGGGGAAAAACTACCTTCAGGAAAATTAACCATTTCCAGTTGATGTGCAATTACTGTACACGCAGTGTACAGCCTTAGTTACTTACGTATTTTCACGTGAATGGGCACGTTTTATAACTTGTGGATGTAATTTTGACGTAAGAAAATGCAAATGCTGACAGATAATATATCACAGTACGGTATGTTCAATTGCAATGTTCTTTATGTAAAAAAAAAAGCAATACGTTCTATTTCCTTGGCCTTGAATTGTGACTGCTCGTACATGAAACCAGTGTGTGTGTGCTCCACAAAGACACTTGTGCCCGTGAGGTAGATTTTTTTTTCGACGAAAACCTTTTGCCACGCACGTTGTCTTTTGGCAGGCATTGTAACGGTGTTTTTTTTTCTATATTTATTACGAGATACCTTGCGGTGCAAATGTCGTTTCTCATGAAAAAATTTAACTCGACCGAAAAGAAACATAAACTCGGATCAGCCTTCGCAACTTGCACAACGTTTCTTTCATTTCCCTCATCTTTATCTTCTTCCTCGCGTTCGAAACAATGGTTCTCTGAATTGTCCTCGGAAGTGGGGTTTTTCCCCCCCCCCCCTTCGTCGTTTCCGAAGGCACGGGATGCAAAGAGCAATTCCTGCAACCACGTTATCATTTCGAGTGAAATAGCCAAATTTGATGGCTTAAAGTAAATATTTTGTTCGAGTTATCGTTTAATTATTTCAATTGATTTGTTTTTTTTGTCTCCTTCTACAACAGCACATGCAGGACATGGGGAACGGAAAAGCCAAGAAGCTCTATGAAGGATTTCTCCCCAAGGATTTCCGAAGACCTGTTTCTGACCAGTATCCTTTAAGCAGAGCTTACGTCTCTGAGCCTTGTGGGGAATTATAATTGTTTCCTTGCCTTGCGCAGTGGGATGTATAAGTTGAATCCATTCATTATGCTAACATGACATCTGCTAGCCCCTGTAATCTTCATGAGTTGTGAAACAGTCCAGCACATTAGACATCACTTATGTACACTACACGCGCATACCTATGCTCCGTAATGGCGGAGACAGTGGCATTGCAACATTGCAGCAGTAGAATCTCTCACTCAAAATTGTCCATATTACAGGTTTTTTTGGGTTAGATCGCGTAAATATATAAATGTGTTGTTAAACCTACCACCACCCGACACAGCCAGTTAGCAAGGTTTGTCACGTAAACAGAACATGCCAATTCGTTACGAGTACAGCACACTGGTAGTGTTGGAGAGCAAAGACACAACATTTATAATCTGAGTATGACGTTTCGCCAGTAATAACAACGAGCTTCATTAGGCGACAGTCAGATTTGTGGCAGCCAGATTTGTAACACCCAGATTTGTGACAGTCAGATTTGTGGCTGCCAGATTTGTGACAGCCAGATTTGTGACAGCCAGATTTGTGACACCCAGATTTGTGACAGCCAGATTTGTGACAGCCAGATTTGTGACAGTCAGATTTGTGACAGTCAGATTTGTGGCTGCCAGATTTGTGACAGCCAGATTTGTGACAGCCAGATTTGTGACACCCAGATTTGTGACAGCCAGATTTGTGACAGCCAGATTTGTGACAGCCAGATTTGTAACACCCAGATTTGTGACAGCCAGATTTGTGACACCCAGATTTGTGGCAGCCAGATTTGTGACAGCCAGATTTGTGACAGCCAGATTTGTGACAGCCAGATTTGTGACAGCCAGATTTGTGACAGCTAGATTTGTGACAGCCAGATTTGTGGCAGCCAGATTTGTGGCAGCCAGATTTGTGGCAGCCAGATTTGTGACAGCCAGATTTGTGGCAGCCAGATTTGTGACAGCCAGATTTGTGACAGCCAGATTTGTGACAGCCAGATTTGTGACAGCCAGATTTGTGGCAGCCAGATTTGTGGCAGCCAGATTTGTGACAGCCAGATTTGTGGCTGTCACTTGATGAAACTCGTTGTAATTACTGGCGAAGCATCGTACTCAGATTGTAAATGTTGTAGCTTTGCTCTCCAACACCGGTGTGCTATACTAGTAACGAATTGGCATGTTCTGTTTACGTGACAAGCCTTACTAATTGGCTGTGTCGGGTGGTGGTGGATTTCACGACATATTTATTTACACGATCTAACCCAAAAAACGTACGTGTTAAACTAACTCAAAACTGTGTTTGCATTAAAAGTTGAACACATATATACATATATATTAAACTGAAAAGCAGAGCATGTGAATGTGAATAATGTATTTTCCGAACTTATTACCTACCTTTAACGCCGATTGCTACGCATTTATACGATCAATATGTATTTACATTGCAAGTATAGCAAGAGTAGAATCGTCTTCAATCTATAGAGACCACAATTTCAATTGTTCTTTTTCACTTGCTCGCTACACAGGCCTCATTATCTGTGCTTTGTTCCATTGCTGTCACTGACTTATGTGTTGTGCTGAACTGAGCATGGTTAAATTAAGTGCTGCTAGGTAATAGATTGTTGCGATTGGGATGATAACATTAAGCATACTTAATGTGGAAGTCCCTTTTCCATGTCTTGGATGCAGGCTCTCGGAAGTGTTGGCTCAGTGTTTTCCCATGTGCTCAGTAACGTGCAGTATTTTACACGGCCATATATTAAATTAATGTTATTTAAAGCCAGCGGAGAAACCATTGCATTGAAATATGTGTTTGCAAATTAGATGTGCGAATATCCATTTTTTTATCTCTGTAAAATTATTTAATGCCCTAACCATCACAAGGTACTGTAACCAAATGACATCGCATTTTATATTGGTTTTCTACTCTGCCTTGTGGCTCATATTTTATGTGTCCCCAATAAAGCTTAATTAGGTTATAAATAATGTATAATTTGATCACTTTCAATTTCGTACATTTCCTGCAAAGTAAAAAAATAGCTGCCAAATGAAATTGCACAGAAATTGAATCTACATTATCCACATGTCAATAAATGTAATTCTTTGAGTCATGTTCTAAAATTCATTTTGGTGCCTTGCCTTTACAGATTTGTTTTTTTCTCCTCTGGAAATGGTTAGTCTTTCAACCTTTTTTAAAATTTTCTTATAAAAAATTAATAGTTTATGGATGCGAGGTTTTTGCAGCACTATTAAGGGCATTAATTCCTTTTGAAGGTTAGCTGTAACCTTCTCGTGACATAGGGACTTACTTGATTATGGCTTTTGCCTCGAGGATGAACTTCGTGCATTTACCTTGCTTTGAAGGTCACCCGTGGATACAGGGAGGTTAATAACTACAACACGAACGACTCCACTGCCTGTAACATATCCATGTTTGTTTCTGAACGTCTGACAAGAAATGCGCATAGTCGTTTGCCCTCTGCTGTGTGACGTCACACGAATGTCAAATTGCGTATGTGTGCGCTGTGTGGCAGTGGCATGCTGATCCTTTCTCTGCCCTATAATCTCAGTGACCCATATTCCATCCCAGCCTGCTGCACATTAATAAACCTGCTGTCTGTGCTGGGCTCAGGCCTTCCCTAGTTTGACTTGGCATACAATTCTGCAATACACTTAAGTGGAGGAGGCAGGTTTGGTGGCTCAAGCAGAGATGCATTCTGAGAGAGCTGGCCACAGGGCAGTGATGTTTTGTCGGAGGCAGTCCACCAAGGAGGCTTATAACCTGTATCATCTGTGCAGAGTTTTGAGGGTTTTCCACCCACACACAAAAGTGCAAAACTTAACTAAGAAATTTTGCCAAAGCAGTGTTTTCCTGAAATGAGCATTGAGAGTGAGGTTATGTAATTACAATATACTTAAAAAAGGTGTGTATAATAAATGTACAGACAAGCCAGCCAACCTATTCAGTGTTAACCTCACTACCCTTTGCTGCAAATTTCAGTAAATATAATACAATTTTAACAGCTTAATCTAAAATGCACTGTCTAATAACCATACATTGCTTAGCCAGGGCTCTGATGCAAGATATAATTTTAATCTTGCTTGGCCATGCTGGTGAGACATTGAAAAAACAGTGTTCATTTACTGTGCATTTTTAATGAGATCTTCTTGGCTGCTGTTTTTTTTGCATTTGTTCTGCATGGCAATGCACATGAGTACTGCCCGTTCAAAGTGTATGCTAACAAGTGACAAGCGCTTTTTTGTAGAGAGAATTGCACTTGGGATTTTTGTTGTTAGGAAAATGTGGTTGAATTATTGCCCTCAAAACTTGATGTATATATTAAAGTTGCACCATCACATCATGTATGCAGCTTTGCCTGTTCAAGGTCATTATATTATCTTCATTATTATATTTTCACTTGTTTTAAAATATATTTCGTAGTTAAGTTCGACTCAAAAAAGCTAGTCATATTTGAGTTTTTGTTGCGAAGGAGTGTCGTTACTTTAACTGTCTCATTTGAAAAGGTATATTTTGCTCTTTAAAGGGCTGCAATGTAAAGCTTAGTTTTCATTGTTTTTGTTTAAAATATACAAAATTAACATCATTATCAGCCATGGTCTATCCACTGAGGCAATGATTTAACAACATTTTATTTAAAAACAATAAACACTGCCGCCAAGCAAAAGAAAATACTGCTACCATTTGTATATACGTTGAACTTATTTCACACTGCACATAATCGGGGGTGCGGTGGAAGGACAACAAACTCAACACAAAAAACGGTTCAAAACTGAATCATACCATATGTTTAATAAAAAAAATTACTCACCAAGTATGCGCAGTTTCCACGTGGGTTACACAAAAGGTTGTGGTTTCTGTGAGAATAGGTCTTCTTTGTGTCGCCTTCTGTACGAGGCTAATTTATTGCAGAGTGAAGCACGGACAAATACCGGCTTCCCAGTCAAGAGTAACAGTGCACCAGCCTGTGACGCAACTGAAATATATATACGTGCGCAGGACGCGCACCGACTAACCGCGATATAACCAATAAAATAGAGTAATTGTCCTGCTCAAATGGGCATTGAGGGATTGGTGCTCATCTGCTGTTTACAGCCCTAAGCCAGCGGTGGAATTTCCTCGTCCCCTTAGTGGTGGTTTATCCATAGAACAACCACTCTTGACATCCCCATGAAGTGGAACTTATTTTGATGAATCCGGCCACCCCGCCGGATTCAACAAAGTCGGGAACAAATAGTCAGAGCTCCCATAGCAATGACATGATCTTTTCAATATAGTGCACGAACAATATTTTTTGCTCATTTACAATTGCATTAAATAATGTTCGTATCTCCACTATGGAATAATTACACATAGCAATGAAAACTATATATATAAAAAAACATTATACCAGGTAAGCCCCACTGAGCTACAGTGAGGGAAATTAGTATTTGACCCCCTCTCAATCAGAAAGATTTCTGGCTCCCAGGTGTCTTTTATACAGGTAACGAACTGGGATTAGGAGCACACTCTTAAAGGGAGTGCTCCGAATCTCAGCTAGTTACCTGTATAAAAGACACCTGTCCACAGAAGCAATCAATCAGATTCCAAACTCTCCAGCATGGCCAAGACCAAAGAGCTCTCCAAAGATGTCATGGACAAGATTATAGACCTACACAAAGCTGGAATGGGCTACAAGACCATTGCCAAGCAGCTTGGTGAGAAGATGACAACAGTTGGTGCGATTATTCGCAAATAGAAGAAACAAAAAAGAACTGCCAATCTCCCTCGGCCTGGGGCTCCATGCAAGATCTCACCTCGTGGAGTTGCAATGATCATGAGAACGGTGAGGAATCAGCCCAGAACTACACGGGAGGATCTTGTCAATGATCTCAAGGCAGCTGGGACCATAGTCACCAAAAAAACAATTGGTAACACACTACGCCGTGAAGGACTGAAATCCTGCAGCACCCGCAAGGTCCCCCTGCTCAAGAAAGCACATATACATGCCCGTCTGAAGTTTACCAATGAACACCTGAATGATTCAGAGGACAACTGGGTGAAAGTGTTGTGGTCAGATGAGACCAAAATGGAGCTCTTTGGCATCAACTCAACTCGCCGTGTTTTGAGGAGGAATGCTGCCTATGACCCCAAGAACACCATCCCCACCGTCAAACATGGAGGTGGAAACATTATGCTTTGGGGGTGTTTTCTGCTAAGGGGACATGACAACTTCACCGCATCAAAGGTACGATGGACGGGGCCATGTACCGTCAAATCTTGGGTGAGAACCTCCTTCCCTCAGCCTGGGCTTTGAAAATGGGTCGTGGATGGGTATTCCAGCATGATAATGACCCAAAACACACGGCCAAGGCAACAAAGGAGTGGCTCAAGAAGAAGCACATTAAGGTCCTGGGGTGGCCTAGCCATTCTCCAGACCTTAATCCCGTAGAAAATCTGTGGAGGGAGCTGAAGGTTCGAGTTGCCAAATGTCAGCCTCGAAACCTTAATGACTTGGAGAAGATCTGCAAAGAGGAGTGGGACAAAATCCCTCCTGAGATGTGTGCAAACCTGGTGGCCAACTACAAGAAACGTCTGACCTCTGTGATTGCCAACAAGGGTTTTGCCACCGAGTACTAAGTCATGTTTTGCAGAGGGGTCAAATACTTATTTCCCTCATTAAAATGCAAATCAATTTATAACATTTTTGACATGCGTTTTTCTGGATTTTCTTGTTATTCTGTCTCTCACTGTTCAAATAAACCTACCATTACAATTATAGACTGATCATTTCTTTGTCAGTGGGCAAAGTACAAAATCAGCAGGGGATCAAATACTTTTTTCCCTCACTGTATATACTGTAGGGCTTTTTCAGAAGCGACCTGTCCACAAATGATAGCTCAACAAAGTGACCTATCACGTGGCAATTTATCACAGCCAAATATTCCCAACGCATGTTTCTAATTGTGGACGGAAAAATCGGAGGACCCGAATAAAAATCGACGAGGCCCCGATGAGAACGTGCAGACTCCAAATATACAGGCATCAGGGTTGGGATCGAACCTACGACCTCCTGTATACCATGCAAGAGAGATAACATCTTGCCAAAGCGGCAGATTAAACTAATTCGGAAATAAATTAAGTCAGTGCATTGACGATACATTTTGCTCATTATTTGAATGAAGTAGTGTATGTAGATATGTATGTATGCATACTGTGGAGTCATTCCGCACAAAATTAAGGAAGTTTGCATAGTATAGTGTAGCTATGCTTTGCTGTTCTGTCCAGATTGTGCTGTTAGTCTGCTTGCTTGACCGCAGTTGGAAGGTTTGGAGTTGAAATCCCGCTCAGGTGTTGACACCCCATCATCCGCCCTCCCACGTCACCTTTCCAGCTATGGGAGATGTCTGGCATACTTCAAATAATTAATGTGTGCATAATTACGAAAGACAAATAACATTTGCAAGTCATTAACGCATAATACACATGTTTTAACTCTCAACATCCAAACTTAATATTTAGAATTTAATAATACTTTCAAATAAAATGTATTTAAAAAAAATATGAGCCATCACTCTAAAGCAGGTCCGAAGAGATGTTGTGATGGAGTTTAAGAGTTTGTTGTAAAATGAATGTAAAATGAACGTGAGAGAGAGGGCCAAGCAGAGCATGTCGACCAATGAGGCACCCAAGTGCGCGCGTTAACCAAATTCCATACAAGAAATAAGTGTACACCTTTAGCTTTAATATAGACTTTAAGCTTTCGTGACTGCAGAAATTACTATACTCATTGTTTTTTTCGGTGAAGTCACCTGATGATGATCGCTTATGTTGTGTTCGAAACGTCGTTATTTAATTTTTATTTAACTTAGTTACATTTTATTTCATTTCTACATACGTGACTTTATCGAAAAAAACAATGAGTACCTTTAGACTTGCGAGTGCTAATTTCGCGTACCTTTGTAATTCAAATGGTAGTGCGTAGTACGTGACATGTCCGGGTGCAGATGTGCGCATCTTGAATTCCCTACGATTAGTGTGGAGCTTTCCGATGGACCCATGCAGTTGGATTGACTGCAGAATGCCACTTGCCACCGCGTGCAGCTCCATTAGCGTACGCACTCGCATTGTTCCGGTTCGGAAGTTTTTTTTGTTGTACATTTCGTTTTCTTGATTTCGTTAGCCCTTCTCTAGCTCGCCAAGGATTCCCGCCTACTTGGATCCAGCCTTGTGAGAGGCTTTACTTAACCACTTTGAGGGTGACTGGTTTCTGTGATGGCAGTGTGGAATTTACTCCACAGGCTCAGTGACTGCCAGCCGACGAGCGGCGCTCAATGCTCGTCTGAGCCCATCATTTTGACCGCAGTATTCCCATAATAAAACAGAAAATTGCTTATTTTTCCCTTGCATCGTGAGGATTATGTGGGCCGACGTTGCCAGTTAAAAGGAGACTGCTTCTTTGTCAAGCATTCAAAAGAAATTGCTATCAGAAAGCTGCATGCAGTGACACAGAGACTGAGCCAGATGGGCAGACCCTACTTGCTTGGCATGCCTTGTCATCTATATGTAGTTTTGTCCCATCAAAAGCTATTTCCAATAGCAAAGTGTTGGATAACTGCTGTTCAGCTCTCACTGGGCTCTGTGTGATTTTGAGATCCCTGCTTTGCAAAAGCAAGTTTTACCCTTCTCTTGCAGTGCGTTTGAATTGGCCGTTTCCTGGGAAATATTGCTCCCCCCCACTTTGACAATGAATTGAATCCACTGAAGAACTGTTCCCACTGATATATTTATTGCCCAGGTCACATCACCACCACCACCACTGTTGTTATTGTGAACTATAATCACAGTGTGTTAGCAGCTGCGAGATTGGTTTTTTTAATGGCGGAATATGGTGTTTGTTTCGGATATCTATGTAAATAATTCACTTTTGAACAAATACAACAACGATTGTTTTATGGTTTTATGTTAGCACATTGTGTTGTGACGTTGCATTCCTTAGTGACATCATCTCTGCAGGGCTGCTGAGGCTTTTATAAGGGACAAGTATGACAAGAAGAGGTACATGGACAGAGATGCTGACATCAGCTCACCCAAGGTCAGTTCCTGCACCAATGAACTTCCCACGTGTGAAATTTAGTTTTAAGGACATTACCGCAGCCGATTAAACGTTACATTATAATTTGAAAAGATTCAACACGTTTTGCTTGACTTTTAATTCTCGCAATGTCAGCCGAATAGGCTAGCAGTCGGCATGCTCGCCAAGTATACGTATGCTCGGTGGGGGGGGTTTTGGCCGCCTAGGGATCGCAAAACTATATCGTCTGCTACAAAGTGATATTGTTAGTGTAAGTAGGCCACTCCAAAATTGGGTATTTGGTAAATGCCAAAATTCTGCATGGCTTTCTTCATACTAACTGCGTTTGATCACAATGAAAAAAATAAATGTACCTAATAGGGTTGTCAACCGAATTAAGGACATTTTAGTCTTTGTTTTTCTGCATGTGTACCCAATGCATCATTTTGGCATCTTGTATCATTTTTGGCACAACAATTGGATTGCATGCAGTTGAGACTATAACAGGCATCAGCGTAATTTAGCTTTTGAACTAGGTCTAGGTTTTGGCCCGTTGTGATCTGATTATGATTTTTTCTTGATTAGATTATGCACTTACTTTTCAAGTGTTTATTGTATACCTGTTTATTTATTTGATGTTCTTAAACATCACTGCACATTACAAGCTGTGCTTGCGATCAGGTTAGGGAAGATATTCCTAGCATGTAAATTAAAACATCAAATTTAACTCTCTTAGGTTTATTTTAATTCCCATCTCTGTGAACTCGTCTAATTGTTGTTTTTAAAACATTTGTAAACGCGTGAACATATATTATTTGGTCTTTTTATTTAGCAGTTAATGCTTGATAATACATTGAAACGCGTTACGCTGCTGAGTATTAAAACGCATATTGTGCATCTGCTGTTTCAGGAGAATCTGTTTACGAGTGCTGTTTTTTTTTTCTTCCATATAAACGATGTCAGTTACATTTTCTTTGCAGAGAAATGCCGAAAAGGACAAAGAAAAAGACAAAAAGGACAACAAGAAAAAAGAAACGAAAAGCCCTGCTCCAGAGAAATCTCAGCCGGTGAGCGTTGAGAAGCCCTCTCCCTTACATTGGCGTGACGTTACACGCGAACACGGGTCAGAGTCTTAGATGTATTGCCAATGTGGTTCTATCGCGATCGATGAGGCAAAGATCAGATCGCACTGCATTGTATCGCAAGAAGTTGCAGAGGCCCGAGTTGAAATATCACGCGGCAAAATGCACTGCGATCGAGTGCAATGCTGCTGCAAAGGGTGCTGTTGGTAGTCTTAAAAATAAAAGTCATACATAAAATAAAGATGCCCCGTATAGCCTTACGGACTTGGGGCAAGTGCTGTCAGTGAGGACATATGAAGGCCGTAACGTCACGCACAGGTAGTGGGAGGCCAGGACTACGTCTGGCCACCTTTCTCTCTTGAGAGGTGATGTTTACGGATTGCACCAGGCACTCATTTGAGGCTGAGTCGGCCTAGGGGAGGCCTAGGACCGTTTCAGATAATCATCACTGGTGAAGGTGGCCATGAGCGGGACTCAAACTCGGGTCAGCGGATTCATAGCGCAGCGCATTAACCGCAACACCCGTTCCCCACACACATACACGCCGACATGTACACATGTATACATGTGCACGTATCCATCAACAAAGCATATATGCACATTCATACCAGGTCCAGCTCCAGCTCCTCTTGGATGGGAGGGCCCGCAGAGCTGTTAAACTGTAACTTTCGCACCTCCGATCAGCACGGTTGGCTCCATGTGGCGCAAAATAAATTCAACATCCTTGCACACAACTTGGGTGAGGGGGGGTAGCAATGAGCCATTGTGTGGTGCAGGGCCCACCCCAGCAAACACCTATGTGTATGATTCGCATGCACATTAACGAGCATGCACAAAAACCTTTCAAGCAAACATGCACACATACACATTGACCAACGTGCACGTACATGGAGCACACTCAAAAAAATATATGCACGCATATAGTCTCTGAACAACAACAACCGCCATTCGCCACTAAGTGGTGGTGGCGTTACCACGGCGCTTTTGCCAGGCTATGTGCACTTTAAGGCCACGTGAAGTGGCCTTAAAGTGGTGGATGTGCCATGGGGGGAAGGCAAGTTCAATCAGCTTTTCAATTTATAGTGCTCGTAGCCACCACAGCAGCCAATGGGGGCTCTGGACGTGTACGAGGGGCTGGCAACTCATCCACCTTCAACTTCCCACTGAATCACATAAAAAAATATCACCATACAGTCTCTCACACACACACGTGCACATGCACCCTTTATGTGCACACACTTATACAACACATATACATATTCTCGCAGTCATACAACTATACTCATACCTACACACATACTCCTATTGATAATGAGTGGTCACGTTATTCCAACTTGTTCCCTGGTTTTGGTGGATGTTTTATTGCGATCTCACCTGATTGCAAATATTCGACCCTGGCACAGTTGTTTGGGTGCAGAGTGCTCAACTGTATCGAGACCAATTGCACGTTGAACTAATTACGCCATTCGTATGTCTATACTGATGCAACCAACAGCCTTAAATATAAGTAACAACTAATGTTTTCATCCATCAACTGATTGGTTCTCTAGACCAATATTATCGAGCAGCATTTTTTTTTCAGCAAGCGAACTCTGAACTGGTCTCATCAGCGGAGCATCATTGGTTTGAAGTAAATATAAGCACGTCTCTATTTTGTGTCTGCCATCAACCCATTGACTTTCCAGGTCGATATTAAAGTGAAGATATTATCAGGCACCAATAGTATCTTGTTACCAGTGTACATTGACCGGAAGAAAAGTCTCATTCAGGATGTTCTATGAGAACACTTCGATTTACAAAGTTTGATCCTGTGAAATGGTCGAAGCCTTTGTGTATGTTTTGCATAATTCTGTATGCATACTGTAGATGAATGCAACATTTTCTACCCATTGTCATACAAGTTCAATGAGCGCTGTATGAAGTAGCTGACCGCATCGTGGTTTTGTGTGGCCTGGCTGTTGATACGCGAGATAGTTGACAAATCTGTGGCTTAAGGTAGGAGTGGTGCTGCAAAATGTGGTACTCGTTCAGTTAAAAGTAGATCATTTGAAGACGGATCACTCAATTGCACAGGCATTAATGAACCTTGTTATTTATATAAGTGCATTTGAAATCATACAGTTTGTTGACTGTAAAAATGTATGTATCAATATACATGTATATAGGAGCTGAGAGCAGTTATACAATGTGTTCTATGTATGACATCACCTTGCATGGAATAAATATATGGGAAGCAGGGAAGCATGGTCGGAGAATGTGCCTGTTAAATGCATTCGTGAAGGAGTAGTGTGCAGTTTAAATGTGGAAGAGAGTCTCATAAAATTGATATATGATCTGGGCATCCTCCAACTTCCAAAATTCAAGAAAATATAAATGAAATTCGCGATTTTACCATCTGACTGAGATATTTCTAATGGTACAACGTAAGCCACATTAATTGACTGATGAGCAAGGTGTCAGCAAGATGGGTCTCCAAAAATATTGACCATTGGCTTGAAGTGAACTAGCATCAGGTAGAGTTGGGCATCATCATGAGGCACCATTGCACAATATCTTCCACATGCATAAAGCTGTAAGTGAGTGATGTGAAGACCAAGTCGAAGGGGTTATTTTGGGTAGGGGTTACAATTTGGGAACATTGATGGACCAAGCACATTGCATTTGAAGGGGTTATGTATAAAAGTAACGGTTTCGTCAGAGGCAGTTATTACTTTCCATGTCAAGCCATGGGCATTTTGATTTTCTCACCCTGTCCACCCCCAACCCTTGTACATCTTCTGAAATAATTTGGCATTTGTGGCATAGCATAGCTTTCTGCAAGCACTAGTCTTAACAAGACATCTGGTTGAAGCTTGAGACTGTTACTATATAGGTGTTCATGTTATTCCTGTAAAAAAGGTTACTTTTATCCCATAGCTTTTGTTCAGCAATAGGATGTTTTAAATTAAATAACAGGTTATAATGATTTGATACGTAAGTTGAAGCAAGTTATTGATGTGAGCAAGGTTGGTTGGGGACACTTGGCCACCGCAAATCAATTACTCTGAAGTCATTCCTTTATTTTGTTCTTGACTTTTTTTTCCTTTTAAATAAAAAATAATAATTGTTCCATGCAATTGGGATCAGGCGGGGTCATTTTCACTCACTGTACCCCTTCATGATGGCCTTTCATCCTAAAATGCTTAGCTAAGCCCTCTTCTGGACCCAAAGCGCTGCACCCATAAAGGCAGTGTGACATGCATTCTATCTTAATTTACCAGGCTCCAAGCACAGGCCTGAACTATGATGCCATTGGGTTGCTTATTAAATTGCGAATGTCACCGAGAATGATTGCTCTGTCTCTAAAGCGCCAGCGTTCTTGCTGAAGCAAAAGCATCAAACACGGTTAAAGCGTTATCATTTGTCTGTACATGTCACTGATTAATACTTTCAGATACATTCACCTTGCTGAATATTCATAAGTGGTATGACAATAAATGCAAAGGAAGCATTTACGACTTTGCTTGCTTTTCATTTCAAAGCATGTTTTTGATCAATAGAATTTGATATTTGAACCCTATGGCGGGACCCGTAAGCACCCGGCTCTCATATAAACATTATACAGTAAAACCTTGGATTGCGATCATTCGTTCTGGAAACATGTTTGTAATCCAAAGCACTCGTATATAAAAGCATTCGTATATCAGTTGTGTTCACGTGACGCTCGGTAGACAAAGCATATATGTACTACTCTTATTGCGAGACCTCGCTCGTTTATCAAATTAATATTTATTTAAAAATGTGCTCGTCTTGAAAAACACTCGCAGACCAAGTTACTCGCAATTCAAGGTTTTACTGTAGTTATATTCTTTGGGTCTTTCGGTAAAGCCACGTAGTTAGAAAAATAATAAAATTATCACGACGTTTCGAGTGCAACACGAGCAATCGTCATCAGGTGAAAAAATATAGTGAGGGAGCCGCCGAGGCAGGAGAAAATACAGCGGGAGAGCTGCTGAAACACGAAGTTATATACTGTAGGCTTGAGATGGGCTCAGCCCAAGGGTAAGTGGGCGGGGCTAGAGGTGGAATTAGCATGTCAATGTAAGATCGGTGATGTACCTCCACGACGACGCCGCTGTTGATGGGGCCACTGCATCGTGAGAGATTAGCATGTCAATGTAAACGAACCAACGCAACGGTGGCTGTACTAATGAGACATCCAGCTCGTTAAAAAACGAGGGACAACACCACATCGAGGAAAAGGAGCAACGGTGGCTGTGTTAGTGAGACATTTAGCGTGTAACTCAGAGAGACGGAAATAACTTCTAGCATCGGCAGGTAGGATAGAAACATCACAGCAAGTTATGACTTAAACTGGTTAATAACGTCCTTCCAATGATTGCTCAGTTTGTATCCATCTTCTCGGTTGAAATTGTGTCTGTGTTTATATATCTGGATGGCTTCATGAACGAATCTTTGTTGATAGCCAGTGGGCTTGCAGAGTACTTTCGTCTTCGAAAAATCAATTTCGTGTGTGCCCACAGCATTGAAACAATGATCAGCCAAGGCTGAGGTGTTGGTCCTACCGTGTTTCAGATCTGCCTTATGTTCACGAACACGGTCCAAGACATGTCGCTTAGTTCCCCCAATGTAACTACTGCCGCAGCCACAGCTTAGTTTGTAGACACCGGGGTATTGCATGTCAGGGATCACATCCTTCACAGATGGGATCAGATCACGAATTTTACGTACTGTTTTGAATCGAACCTGGATCTTGTGTTTGCTCATGCTTTTGGAAATATTTTTCCTAACACCTGCTATGTATGGCAAGGTGATGGTTTTGATTGGGTCCTCAGATGGTTCTTTCCCAACGGTTGGGGTGATAGCTTTACGGATTGTGTAGTCAGAATATCCATTCATCTTGAGGGCTTGGTGTACGTGTTCCAGTTCACTGGTTAGGTGATGATGGTCAGAAATACATCGAGCTCTGTGGTGTAGAATTTTGA